TATATCAAATCATCGGAAACTAAATCAAAACTGAGGCTAACATGATGTCATTATGCTAGCAAAAATCGCGCGAGGATTGCCATGTCAAAAAATAAAAGCAGTAGAAAAGCATGAAATAATGACTATCATGGAATAATGACAAAAATACATCATTATTATATTAGATATGTTTATAGGATTAATTCTTTTGTTTATCGCTATACGATCTATCATATTTATCTTTTATTCAAATTTATCATAAACAAATATAAAGACTGTAAAATATGGTCTTTAATGAGAATGAAAGTGTATATTTATTTTCAAATCTATATTTTGTTTTATCAGCTTAATTTTTCTGATACAGTTCTTGTAGAGAATTGAAAATATCGAACTAATTTTCTTTTTAAACTAGTCTTGATGAAAAAGTAATTTATCTTTATCGTCATTATTATTATTTTTTACATATGAATACAAAATGTATTATTACTAATATCATGAACTTAGCAGAAATTCTGAAGCATTTTTAATACTTTTTTACTGTAAAAAAAGGCATCAAGTTATACTTGGCATTACTTAACGCAAAACCATTTTGTAAATAGATTCTTAAATATAATGAAAATTAAAAATAATATCATAAAACAAAAAGAAATGTAATTAAAATGCAAATTGTTTTTATTCAAATCAAAACAAAAATGTTCAAAACGTAATGATATAAAATAAAAAACAATGCTATGAAAAAAAAGTAAAATCAAAATAATATATTAAGTATTTATTACATTCCATCATTCATCAAGTCCTATAGTTCTCCTAGCGGCGACTTGAGAATGTTCTTACGATGTAGACATCCTTTGGATATCCTTTAAAATGTTATATAGGATAATCTCTTGTAATAGATTTAATATAAAATATAAAAGATAATATAAAATATAAAAGATATTTAAAATATAAAAGATATTTAAAATATAAAAGATATTTAAAGTGTATAAAATATGACGACATTATAATGAGAATGCGAAAGATAGTGTAACGAGAATGCAATAGATAGTATAACGAAAGGCGCAGAAATTGAAAATGGATTTTTGGTAATAAATAGAAAGCTGTAGACACAAAAAAACGAAAATGAACAAAATCTCCAGCAAGAGCATATGATGATTTGACTTTGAATGATGTTGTTAAGATTAAGGCAAGGTCACTTAGAATTTTTAAAAAATAAAATCCCTTTTTTAAATTAAATTTTCTCGTAGCTTATCTCCAGAATTTTTTAAACACTAATAAAACAATTTTTTATTAAGTATTTTTTAAGAGTAAAAACTTGAAAATTACAGTACCGCCAGTGTTAACATTACTCAAAGTGTCCGAGTAATGTCTAAACTCTCTTAAATGTCATTCAGGTTCACCTTGTGACCTTGATAACATTTGTCAATTGCTCCTTTTACTTTCATCTTTATGTAAAAATAAAAAATTAAAAAAACAACCTCTAAAGGCCTTTTAATCAAATATTATATATTAAAATCATAACTCTTATCAATATTCAAGAGACTGGACATCGAAGGTGGAATCACACGATGCTCGATTTCTTAAATGAGTATATGTAGACATGCATGCTGCTATACTTTTGCTTCATGCTTTGATGCATACAGTCTAACTATTTGACAAATAACTATGAAATTAGCAATTGTTTCTTTTTGATTGGTGCATGCAAGGAAATAAGAAGTAATTCATAATAAATATAAAAATCATGTATATGCAGCGCTCAATTCATGAACGAATTCTAGCATACATCAGAGCAGGCATGACTATATGCATGTTATCATTCAAGAGATCGAGCATCATGTGATTCCATTTTTAGATAATGCCGGCAGTTACTGTACTCTCAAGCCATATAATTCAAAGAATGTTTAATGAAAAAATATTATTATATTTTGAAAAGCTCTCGAGATAGCTACATGAGAATATATGCAATAAAAAATAAAGAGTCCTATTTAAAAAATTTGAAGGACTTTATCCTGACTTTGATGACATCCAAGATTTAAACCAATGGTACTGTTTTGTGTTTCCCTCGAAGTCACGAAACTTTTGTTTGAATCATTTTTCGATTTAACGCTGTGCTTCTGAGTATTTGATTAGACTCTTTAAAATGGGACAGTCTGTATATAAAATTATATTTGTGATTTTAGAGGGATATGCATAAGTGTGCTGCACAATGTTGTGAAAATGAATCATATAGCATACAAAAAGTACATACCTGTGTGGAGAATTGTAGTTCCTCTTTGAATAAAGCACAACAATACGTTCAAGGAGAGTTTGAACGAATACAGGTAATAAAATTTGTTCAATTTATTTTAATCTCTGTAATTTAGCTGTTTGTGTATTTTATAATATTTTGCATAGGAGACTTAAATCCAATTTACATAAGTAAGTGAAACATATGTATAATGTTAGATATTCAAGCTAAGAGAAACTCAAGACAAAATATCTCAATTTATAATCTTTCAAAGAAGTATGTCCTTGCTTTTATTTAATTTATAAAATTTTTCAGAATCGCTTACAAAGGTGCATAATGGAATGCAATGATAATATAAAAGACAAAATGGGTCCAAACCCGACTCAGATTGAAGTGGATAGATATAGCGAAGAATTTGAAAAATGTGCCACCAAGTGTGTAGACTCTTATTGCGAGTTACTACCGAGTTTGGAAAAAACTATGAAGAAAGTCCTTAGTAAAAATGAATTCTCGTAACATTTTTTTCACTTGGGAAATAAATATCAACTGCCTCTTATTTTTAACATCTTTAATTAAAAATGTTCTATATTTTTAGTAGTATATTTTCAGACGAAATTTATTTACAGATACGAAGTAAGTGTAGCATTTGAATATTTATATATATGAATTTATTATTGCAAATATATATACATATATATTCGATGTGATTATTTTATACTAATGTATTTAATACAGATATATTTGCATATATCTGTATTAAATATCTTTTCAATACAGATAGCATTTATCTTGTCGTAATAAACCAAATTATCGCGTAATTAATGTAAATTATACGAAATCGACGATACATATAACAAAAATTGTTTATTGACCTGATAAGTTTGATAAATATTTAATTTCAAAACTTTTTTTTTAAATCAGGATAACTGAAAAATCAATAAAATTTTCAATTAATTTGGTTTATATTCATATTTGATAATTGGGATGCTAATAGAGGAGACCAGGGTCAAAAATAACATGAGTATTTTGAAGTTATAGCATTTATATAAAAAATGTTATAAACAAAATATAAAAGCGTAAAGAAGCAATAGAAGTTTATAATATATTTATCACAACTTCTATCTCTTCCTTACACTTGCATATTTTGTTTATAACTTTTTTTTATGTAAATGTTACAACTTACCGTGTTACTTTTAACTCCATACAGTCTTATCAAATAAAACTTAATATTAATTAAAAATTTTATTCAATATTTAATCCCTTCTTTCCAATTATCATGTATACATGTGATGTGTTTATTCCTATCTGTTTATTATTCTTATCGTCTTGCCTAAACAAGCTCTACCTACCCATACTTATTGTCCTACCTACCCGCATTTTTATTTAATTGTGCCTATTCAGGTATACCTATCTACATTACCTACTTCATAAATATGCAATAATACCGCGAATATATTGGATTGTCCGGAAAGTTCGTGCCGACTAAAATTTAAATTTTAGTATACATTATTAAATTAAAATTTTCTGCGTTTCAATTTTCTTTCAACACGAACTTTCCGGACAATCCAATATGTCATACTGCATTCATCAGAGAAAGTAGCTTTTCAATTGTAAAAAATTCTTTAACGATTGGTTTTTGCTTTGATTCCTTATGGATTTAAATGTATAAAGCAATCATATTGAAAAATTTTATAGTTGCAAAACTGCTTTCTCTGCTGAATGCAGCTAACACCCTCTCCTATTACATGCTGATAAATTCAGCGGGATGATCTAATCGCAATCATAATAATAAATAAGTAATAAACAATAATTATTAAAATAGACTTTCAATCTTTAAAATACAAAAAAAATTAACAGAGCTAATGAGAGTAATAGATTAAAAAGATCTACAAAACTTGCGCTTGATTATCCGTGCTGACTCTCATTAGTCCTGTTATTTGTTATTTTTTTTGTATTTTAAAGATTGAAATTTATTATCATCTAATAAAATTTATTTTGTCCTGAGGATTTAGTACAGAGACGAACCACATCTACTTTCGACGATACGATTTTATCGACGTGCTACAAATTGTTCGCGGAACTGCAGCTAGCGCTAACAAACACGATCATGATGTCACTAATGGTATCGTGTTATGTCACAATTGCGCTCTATCAACGCTATTTCTTCCAGTAGTGTATTGGTAGTGTTAGCATTTACAGATGTCCGTAAACGACCCTAGCGTAGCGTTGATAGGGTTTAACATTTGTCAAAATTAGATTAGAATGTTTAAGGGGATTCTCCAGTGTCACCAAACTCTTCTCTCTTAGAATTTCGTAGAATAAATACGTAATGTGTGAATTCAAATTTCAAATTTTATCATAATGAATGCAATCTCAATTTTAATCTCTGCTGATGGCTCCAGCCACTAGGCTGAACGTTCTTGCTTGTGTATCATCTTTAATTTTTCAAAGTTTCTGCGAAATGCAACTTGTGATTTGATTTCATTGTAAATGTGGAAGTCAGAGTATCTTGTTACTGGTAATTTTCAATTCCCATATACGGAAAAAAGTTACTGTGTGTATAGTGCGGTAGGGTATTCCGTTGGAATTGCTTATTAGATGTAGATATGTTTTTTCTTCTGAAATCGACAACGGATGCTCAAGAGTTCTTCTTTTTATCTGATTAATTTACTTATTTAGTGTAACCATTAATTTTTTGATCTAGTTTCTACATTGTTCGCTTCGGTCTAGCTGCAAGCTATCATAGAGATTGCAATTGAGATTGCGTTCTGTTATTCACTATGAGAAAATAAAAAATTTACAAATACTTTACAAAATCTTAAAAATTTTAATTGTAGGGAAAAGTTTGGTTGGTGAAAACAGAATCTCCTACATTAACTTAATCTCGACGAATATATATTTCTCTGGTTAAACGCTATTACCAATGCTACGCTAGGTAGTAGCGTAGCATTGGTAGATCATTCATGGAATTTGCTAATGCGCTATTGGCTCTAAGAACAGCATTGATAGTGTTTGCATCCATAGCGCGAATATAATATATATCTCCCCGAACGCATCTAAAGTGGATGTAAATTACATAGCAACGTCCACTTTTCTTAGGGTACATCGTCCATTTTTCAAGGCTAAAGATAAATCAATATTTTTTTTTTTCATATAATCGTGCTACATATATAATACAATTATTCGAACAAATATCGATTTATCATCTTTAGCCTTGAAAAATAGACGATGTATCCTAAGAAAAGTGTTGCTATGTAGTTTACATTCACTTTGTTAGAGGGCAGTAGTGCGCGGCAACATTTTGCGGTTACAAGTTTTGGGTTGTCATGTCTTCTTTCTGATTAAAAAAATTTTTTCAGATTATTGAATTTTATTGTTTTTTTTTTTTTATTATTCTAAACTATTAGAAGTTGGAATTGTAATTTTTTATTATTCTTTATATCTTCTTATCATAGATATTCCTTCTAGTTTCTTATAATCAAACTTTACTTTAAAGCGAGCGCTTGCAAAATGAGTTTCCTTTTAATTGGATTAACTGCCAAAGTTGCCGCCATTACGTGCAATGCACATAATGGCCCTACTTTTTATACATTTACGGATGTAGTACAGTCACAAACCTCTATTTTCGCTGATGGCGCTGATACTACGATTTTATCGGCGTGTCACAAAAGTGCTTGTGGTACATAGTATTCTTGTATCTCTAAAACGGACATTAGTGCGCTAGCGTACGGGAAGTTAGAAGCGTTGCAGGAAAAAGATCGAGATGGCCGTTCTCAAGTTTCTCTCCGGTAGAATACAAGACAACAAAAGCGATGAATAACGAAATATTTCAACGAAAACGATCTATTTGAGATTTAATTGGCGGTAGAGGCGAGAAGAATACATAAATTATTGACAGTTTACTCGCATTTCTTACGTCACAGTAAAAGCGTTGAAGATAAAACGTTTATACAATACAAGAACGAAAGATCGAGTGCGAGTATTGAATCTTGCAGATACATGCTTACGTTGCAGTAATTCCAAGTAATTCTTGACGATCAAACGCATTCATTGATCTGCGTGTGTCATCCAGAATAATGATTCCTTATTATGTAAATTACACATAAGGAAATGCTATGGTGAAGAAAAAGTGTATGAAATTCTTTCAATCTTTTGCAACGGATGGTGGCATTCGAAAATGACTGACTCTACCTCTGCCGCCTCTTCTTTTGCCAGGTAACGTTTGCTCACTTATACAAGTTTCACGATTTTTCGCGTAACTATAATATTTGCTACATTAATTTCAAGTTTTTAAATGATACACAAGATAAATTATATTGTATGAACATCATGATATAAAAGATAGTTCATGTGTTTCGTGGAAAATATGCATTTAACCTTATATTTTATATAGAATGAAAGAAGAACAAATGAAGATGACTGACGAGAGAAAAATAGATAGACCAGTATTCATAGTCGGATCTTATATTTAAGACCTTAAGTACAGTCTTAAAATGTTGTGAACCAGAATAGAGAGCTGTATTAGCATCTTAAGACATTACTTATGACGATCTTAAAATAAGAACGAACTATGAATCCATCCATAGATAGATAGATGAGAGAGAGAAAACATCCAAATACATAAACCTTTAAAACTCTTAACTCTTTTTTTTTATAAGTTTAATATCTTTGTATTTGCCATTTTTGCTACATTTTAATGTAACGTGTTATGATAAGAACATAAAATTTATTAATTATATTTAAGATTTTAGAAGAAATACAGATTAAATATGTACATGTTTAATATTATTTAATATTACAAATACATAGTAAATATATATACTAGGATGTATTGGTTGTATAATCCCTGGGAGTAAATTTAAAGACTTGAAATGTGTTTAATATTTACACTTCAAATAAGCTATACATATGAAAGTTGTATGAATAAGATTATATTTTTATTTAATAATCTATTTTTATAGTTTATTTTAGTCTATTTGTTATTAAAAATTAAATTATTTCTTACAACATTAAGAGAAATTTCAGTTTTTTTGTGCAAGTATTGTAAATGTTAAAAGTAATTTATAAGTTTCATTGTGATTGTCTATTTATTTTGTAAATAAATAGATAAAATTTTATTTATTTACAAAACAACTAACCTGTTCATTGCAATGAATCTATATATTATATATCATTTTGAATATTTAAAATATTTAAATAAAAAATTCTGATTTAAAAAAAAATATATTTCTTAATATTTTCATTAGAGCATTCGTATTTATTTCTTATTGAAATAATTTTTTATTATCCATATAGAAAATTGCTACATTTTTTCTAGTACTTTTTTAAATGTAATATAAAAAATATTTATATATTATGTTAGATTATGTTTAAGCTGTGATAATATATTATAAGGTAGAAGAACTGGTACTGTGATACTCAGTATTATGATAGATTAAATTAGCACAGATATTTAGGAACGAACAAAAAGTTAGGAATAAGATATTTGTGGCGTAGTGAAAAATTATAGATGGAGTTATATAGTGTTAGGTTTTTTGCAGTATGAAAGAATGAGTATGGTTAAGGAATTTAGTGTAAACCAAGTCCCTTCTTGGCTGTAAGCTGAAGTAATAAAGTTCTATGTAATGTAAAATAACTAGTAATTTTTTCAAAATTTTTTTAATGTTTTCAAAATATGTCCAATAGGTTAAAAACACTTTAATTACGGTATAATAATCGATATAAATTTTGTTTATTGTATATCTTTGATAAATAATTTACCATTTAAATTATATGATCCTTTTTATATTTTTCATGAATTATAACGTAAAAAAGAAACAGTACAAATTATAATCTAATCTTTAGTGCTTGATACGATAATCTAATAATAATAAAATATTCATTATATGTATTTATTATAAAAATAACCAGTTTTTAAAAATGCAGGAATTAAACAAGAATTAATAAAACTAAATATATAAAACTTACTTGTATCAAAACAATATAATGTAAAACAAGGGTATATGAACAAAAGTCAGATTACAGTTGCTGAAACATCATAATATTTCAAATAAAATAAAATAAAACATACGTTTCGACCAGACAATTAGGTCATTATCAATGTTGTTCCGATAAATATAAAATTATATCCTAACGGTTATATACGCAAGTTATTCTAACAACTATAATTACATACAATTAATCTAGTTACAAAAAATAAAAAAAAATAAAATTTTATATTTACCGGAACAACATTGGGCACGTTCAAATTGACAAAGCGGCTAGCCTGTTCGCCGAGCAAATGAATATAATTGGTTGTTATAGATCCAACCAATCATATTCAATCGCTCGGTAAGCATCTAGCTGCTTTGCTGTCTTGCCCATTGATAATGATCTAATTGTCTGGTCGAAATGTATTTTATTTTACTTGAAATATTATGATATTTTAGCAACTGTAATTTAGCTTTTGCTCATTGTTTTACACTTATATTGTTTTAAACAAGAATTCTTATGTTATCTAAAATTGTTTTTATTTATAACATTTTAGAATGACACTTTGAATTGTATATTATTTCAACATATTTTCGTTAAAGTACTAAATTTGAAAATATATTCTTTTTTATGACGGAAGATAGAAAATTTTTATATACATGAGGAAATGTTTGGAATTTCCAATGCATATCTTTAATATATAATATTCTATTAATAACAGTAATCTACTATCAATAAGACTTACAAATAAATCAATCTATTTATTTCTATTTAGCATATGTATATATATTCAGCATATTTTTGTAGAATAATCAGCAACATAGTGACTTTACTGAAATGTGTTGTGCGGACGGCATTTGTGATAGTAAACAATGTCTATTGCATACCTACGTATGTAGTATGGATGATGTTATTGTTTCCTGTAAAAATATATCAACCTCAAGTGTACTGGCGAATCGAAGGCCTATTTTTCCACTGGTTATTGGCAATGGTATCAATGTGGACTTGGTCTGCAGGTTACGACAGTAAGTATTATTGAAAGAATGCAAATTAGAAAAAAATAAGTTTGTTGAAAAGAGAGAAAAATAAATTTTTTGTTCTCCAGTAATAGAGCAAGGTGATGACATACAGAAAATTATAAGCGAAAAAACATTAGTTATAGCGAATCATCAGAGCACTGGTGATGTTCCTATATTAATGACAACATTTAACGCCAAACCAAATGTTCTACCTAATTTAATGTGGATAATGGATAGGGTGTTTAAATTTACTAATTTTGGGATAGTTTCTATATTGCATCAAGATTTTTTCATTATATCGGTAAGTGCAAATTTGTTTCTTAAAAATGTATACAGAATATTCCTTGAATCAGTCGCTATTTTATATGTATGTTTAAATTTTACACATGACTCGACGAAAACTATTTTTATGTTTGTATGTTCCTATATATGTCTCTTACAGTCATGTTTTTGTTTATGTGTTTCTCACTATTTTAGATATCGACGATAGATTTGTGAATTATATTGCAAGTATAAGTAATTGAATTAGGATCGAATAATTAACATGTTACATAATGTTATATCAATGAATTTGTATACTTTTTATATACTATAAGAATATAGAAAGGAAAATATATATTATTTTAAAAAACAATTTAACGTCGGTTAAAAAAGGAATAATTTTTTGAATTTTTTTTATACGATTCTTCATAAAAACCAACTTTTAAAACGTTCTATTATTAATCCATCGAAATTATCTAAAAAATCATAGCACCAATTCAAGGCAACATTCTGTATATACAGGATCTATTAAATATAGGTTTATACTATTTACTTATTTTTTACAAAATATAATGTAATATAATGTAACAGAATTCGAGTTATCTGTTACCTTCAGCTAATATATATTAGATAACTATAGGGACGTAAACGAAGGGAAGAAAGTTTAAAACAATTACAAAAACATCTCAAAGATTCGTACATACCACGAGATAGAAAATGGATGGTACTTTTCCCGGAAGGAGGCTTTTTGTGTAAAAGACGAGAGACCTCGCAAAAATATGCTAAGAAGAATAATCTGCCTATTCTCGAGAATGTGACTTTACCAAGAGTAGGAGCTATGCAGATGATTTTCGATACCCTTGGACCAGCAGGGAATAGGAATACAAAGGATCAATACCTGAATAGTCGACCAAGTATAAAATTATATTTTGTATCATAAATTATTGCATGTTAATTTTATTATTAATATATTAATATGTACGTATTATAACATATAACTTGATAATGCTTTCACAGTTTTCAACGTATATCTTATTATATATCAATATATACATATATCAGTGGTAAATTTTACTTATAGTGGTATTATTGCAAAATATATTTTATATATATGTAATTATATATCTATATAGGTTTGACGGTAGTTAATCCAGAAATTAGTTGGGTTCTTGATATAACAATAGCGTATCCTCAAGGTAAGCCGCTTGACTTGCCTACTATTATAACTGGTTCAAGACCTCCGTGTGAGACGGTATTATTTTATCGACTTTTCCCTAGTTCAGTGGTAAGTGACTTGACATGAAATATAATTTATAATATAAATACGCACAGCAATATGTTACGTGATATTTTATAATGATAGGTACCTCGCGAACCAGAACAATTATCCAGATGGTTATATGATAGATGGGTAGAGAAAGAGGTACTATTGGAACATTTTTATAAACATGGATCATTTCTTGGCACAAACGGAGGAAGTACCAAAGTACATCAGGATCCATTAAGATTCCTAGTCCTTCATTTATTCTTTATAACGTCTAGTTATATACATTATAGCATGCTTACGTATGTACTATCTTGCTTTTGGTAAGATGTTTTTATATTATGTGCGACGCACGATGGTCCAAGAAGGAAATCACAGTAACGAAGTAAGATATCCTTGCCTTAAATAACCATTTTCATGTTTATGAAAATAATTCTAATAAATGTAGATTATTAAATTCAACAGTATACCCGCATTATACGTCACTTGTAACACTTATTTTTATTTAACAGTTGCAAATGAATGGTATTAAGAATTGTATTTGTATTTTAAACATGAAGTTATTATATAATTTTTATTTTTTAAATTTGATTTCAAACTATTAATATATTTTACATTTAGCAAAATACAATTTCAGTTACGTTTCTAAGTCCGGAAAACCACTTTGGCGCGCAATTCGAGAGACTACAAACGTGGTATATAATTCACATGAAATTATTTAAAACATTCAAGATCCAGCTTCAATTGATATAGGCATTACTTCTTACTTATTGAAAATACAATTTGTTTCTGTAATTTTTAATTGCTCTACATAGCTTTAAAATTATTTTTCTCATACTATATATATTCTATACTGTACAAAGTATAAGTTACATAACAAATCTGTTTTTATAATAAATTAATATTCATATATCTTCGAACTTGACAATGAAATATTCTTAGAACAAAATCGTTGGTGTGACGCCAAATTGTAAATTTATTTTCTTCACTTTTGGACAGTGTAGGATATAAAGATATTTAATTGTAAATTTAGAATACGCATGGAAATAAATATTTCCTCTATAATCTCAAATATGTGATCTCTTATTTAATAGAGGTGCATAATGTGTAAATTTTGCTACAAGTTCTTGGGAATGCGTAAAAATAGGCGTTTAGATTTTTTTTTATCAACGTTAGATAATTCGCACCTCAATTTACATGAATCTATTATATATATTGTATAATAAATATTATCCGGTTTCATTCAATTTTAGATATCAATTAGGTATCATTCACGTTAATTTTTATTACCTTCGCTAATAATATGTGAAAATAATGTTTGTATTTACATATACCTGATAGTAACAAAATCTTTGTAATATATAGCATCGCATGTGTGTTTATGTAAGTTGATTATAAAGTGATATACATTTTATATCGATATACAATAGGAGAAACACATTTTTGTGGAATAGTAATAGCCGAATCTTTTAAAGAAGTACTCATTTAGTTTTTTATGATACAATAGTAAAAGATATTTTTCAAAGAAAACATGATCCATTTTAAAAACATTTTTTAAACATCACGTTAGGAATTGTCTAACAATAAATTTATAACTTTAACAACATAAATTAGAATTAGATTAATGGAAAAATATGATTGTTTAAAAACAGAAAACAAAAAAAGATTTAGGGCCTTTATTTCCAATTCGTTATGTAATCATATTATGATCTTATAAGACGTTTTATATTACAAATAAAAAAATATTGTACCGGATGTGTATGAAATAATAAGTGGAATATATTTTTCATATCCATAGATATTAAAAATTATTAAATGCATATAGGAAATCTTGGTCTTTTTCAAGAGCATTTTGTTCTTTTCTCGGCATTTCTAATGATCTTTAATTGTAATAGCACAATTACATGATATCCTATGCTATTTTAATAATTTATTAACTATTTATTAACTTAAAAAATAATAATTGAAAATCTTAGAAGAAAAAAATATCGTGGTATAATTTTTGAATTATGAGTGAGATTAATATTGATTAACGATATTGCATATAGTTTATGCGCTTATTTCCATAATTATATACTAGCGCACGCGCGATTACCGATTATATTGATATATTATTTATATTGATTTTCAGGCTTCTCTGATATTGATTTTCATTGCAGAACTTATATTTTATATACACAATTGGTACCACAAATCTACGTCTTCTTGGGACATCATCTGAATTATATTTCTTGACACCTTCTGTTAGAAAGTAGGCACTATAAGCCTACTATATACTTCCTCTTTCTCCCTATTTTTCATCAAATTAATTTCGATCATTTAAAAAGTAATTATTCAGTTTAACTCTCGCATCTCAAAAATCAATGAAATTAGGCTTATTATTCGATGCGTTTTTGCATGAAACGAAAGAATTTGGCAAAAAAAGTGTCGTTCTATTCTGTGAACTGAGATTAAGCATTAAAGTTGACTACTATTGAGGTTAGGAAATCTGTCACAGAGCAAAATGAGATCTATATTGCTGATTCTACAATGAGTCAGTTTTAGTCTCAATCGGTGAAGTTGGCCAATCAGCCTTAGTCGTACAAGTTGGCTATTGGTCAACTTCACCGATAAAACTTAGAACTATCGATTACCGATTCCTTATAGAATCAGCGTTAGGCCGTCCAATTTATGCTGACAACGCTTATGAGCATTGTCTTCATTTAACATTTAACAAACGAGGATGAAATGATTTTTAAGCGTTGAATCGATCGCGACCTAATTGTACTTCCACATGCACATGAGTTTCGACTTTTCATGCGAAGCAATTCTCACCTTCCCCCTGCAAGGGCGCACGATTTCTATGTACTGTTGCACATGGGTTTTGATTTTGAAAATGTATAGATCATGATGGAAGAAATAACATGGTGGCAAGCATCTCTCTCTGAATCTCCGCCGTCTCTATCTGTAGCCTAGTTTCCACCGAGGATTTAAACCGGAACCAAAGTCGAGCATTCTCGACTTGACGAAAAAGCGAAAAGCGGAAAAGCAGCAGTCAATCAAAATTCTATCTAGTAGTCTACAATTTCAGCTTTTTGTACTACTTACTATCAGCGCGAGTTCTGATTGGCCACTGTTTTTCTCTCAAGGTGTGAACGCACCCTTAGGATGCAAAATCCATACAGCGGAAAAGCGTGGGAGCAATTTAATTGCACACTGTAGCAATTGCCCACTGCCAATCTCAGCGATTTCTGCGTTCGGGGTTATTTTTTTTAGCACTGTGTTTAGCTTGTGCGGATCGTTTAATTGGATCGCAATTAATAGGCAATTGTCATTCACTCGAATAGTGTAATACGTAACGAGAGCAGAACTAATCACAAACGTTCTGTACATGGAGAATAGAGAGACCAATTGTGGGATTCTCTAAACGTTTTATTGACATTGTTCTATCGTTAATTAATGACGGTTAATGGATAATTGTGTTGTTTTCTAAGATTATCTTGTTATTGGCTAGTTAATAAGCAACAGTAGCAAGATTCTTTAAACATTTTACCGATTGTCGCTATCATTAAATGATAACAGCTAATTGCAGGACAATCTTAAAAAAAAGCGCGGCACTTATCGGCTGTCGCTAGTTAACGATAGCGACAATGTCGATAAAATGTTTAGAGAATGTCTAATCTGATTCTAATCTTTATAGTTATCAACTTTAACGCTTAACATCTCGGATCACAGGGCAGAGCGACGTTTTTTTTTGTCAGATTCTTTCCATGCAAAGACTCTTCAAATAAATCTAATTTTATTGATTTTTGAGGTGAATATGCTAAACTATATATAATTATATATAATTAAAACAAAAGTTTAATTAATTAAAGGGATGCTGCAGTGAGGCCGAAATTTGATTGATGTCGACAGTACAGATTTTTTGAATTCTGAATAAAAAAAGTCGATAATAGTGACATTTTTAATTTATTTCTAATATTTACTGCACATAGAGACGATGGACGATTAGTGACAAACGATATTCAATGAAAGCTCTGTTTTTTCTCACGTGACGATGCAAAGCTACATCTAATATGATTATATATGAACCAAATACCGATTTATTATCTCTAACCTTGAAAAGTGGACGATATACTCTAAGTAGATGTTGCTATGTAGTTTACATCGTGCTATGTAGTAAAACTGCATAAAAAATGCAGCATTTTTCATGCAGTTTTAATGATAATTTACGTTTTTCTGTTACTGTTGAAAGCATGATGTCAAAAAATGTCTATTTTTAAGATGTCAGAAAGAAATCTGAGAGAGAGAACATGACGACCTAAAACTTGTAACCTGTAATCGCAAAATGCTGCCGCGCACTACTGTCCTCTGGCAAAGAGGATGTAAACTACATAGCAACATCTACTTTTCTTAGAGTATATCGTCCACTTTTCAAGATTAGAGATAATCGATATTTGGTTCATATATAATCATATTAGATGTAAAATATAACCTATCATGCAAACTGCGAGAATGGTGAAACCAAAGCGACATCTCGATTGAACTAATTCAGATGACCACTTTTGACTACGCTTTTTGACTTGTTCATATAAATTCGGCCTCCTATTCTCTATACTCCGTGGAAGCAATCAATCAGCGCTATTCCTCACTTTCCATTATCACATCCGCAATGACTTCATTTTTATCCAATGATTTTTTCGAATAGACTTATTAACAATCCCGAATGGTATACGCGGGCATTTCTTAGAACGTACCTGACGTTTTTCCCCGCACCTACCAATGATGGCACGGTCGATGAAAGGGAGTCTTAGGGATGCCCATAAAAGAGAGATCAAAAAACTGGCAGAGTCGATATATAGAGTGGATGCGCGCAAGATTCTCCTTCCATTGTTCGGCCATTTTCGCTCAGAGTTTAAGTGCCGCATATGAATTATTCTAAATCCGAACACAATTCTCTTTTGCTAATTTAATTTCAAATTCTATTAATAATTGCAAATTCTAATTCCTAGTTCGTAATCCAATTTAAATTAGACTACACACGCATAAAAATTAATTACTTCGGTAATCAATGTACTATGTAATGAATTATTTTAAAGTATATACTTAATTAATCTTAATCCAAGTGTGCTTAGTTATCTCCATCTTCTCGTTAATTATTAACATTGACGATATAATTATTTGTTGCAAAACACTAACAACAAGCGATTGCTATTAGCGATCGAAATCAGTAGCCGGACTCGCTCAGGGAGCAACAGAAGTCTTGGTATTCCAACCACCTCTCCTCCTTCTTGCTAGCAATTGGAAACATCGCAGAGCATCCATCTGAGCATCTCAAGGTAACAAAGCTTATTTTATTTTTCGCTAATTGAAACCTCATCGTGAATGAATCACAGAGCATGTGCCCTGTATTCCCGCATTCGCGTGTCCTTATCGACACTCGACTCCTAATGGTCAATCCTTACATCGCGTGGATCCGTGGTTGCGTATCCGCTCTATTTTGTCAGCATAAGAAAAGTGGGACGGTTAAATGCATTGAATGTTATATCATTACTCATTCACGAAAAGGAGAATTATTTCAGAATTTTGCAATATTACGTCCACCTCGATTAACCCGAGATTTGAGATTTGCAACTCGTGCTCTTTAATACTCGTTATTCTTCGCGCGGTCACTCCGAGTGTCCTGGTAAGTGTTTTGGAAAGTAATGTTTGGGAGTAATCGTGGAACGATTAGAGTCGACAATAATTGCTATAATACTCATATCTAGT